GCTAGTTGCTATCAAAACCGGCTAAATCTAGCCGGAAAACGGCTAAAATGGCAACGCTGAAGTTAACTAATCAATCCCGCTGAGATGCTGCCGCAGTTTGCTGCATCAGCCTTAAGCTGATGCCAGATAAAACTTTGTAGCTTTGCGTGACATTTATAACTTTGCCAGCAAAGCGCCAGACGCAAAAAGGTATGCCCCAATGAACTCCAAGAAAACAATTTTGTACCGCTTTTTTACTAGTCAAAGTTGCTGTGGATTTTATATGTTTTGCTTTAAAATTATCAGCAATGTAACTAAGTTTTATGTTTCTGCATGAAAACTCGAATTTGGACGAAACAAAATAAATATTAAACCGGCTGATTGTCAAAGCGCGCAAAAAGATGGGAGTTGGCCATCTTTTCGCTTCGCGCTGCACCTTCAACGATTTATGTGGCATGCTTTGTGCATTTTCATACAATTACAATACAATTCATCTTATCTGTCAAAGCGAATCTGTCACGTAAAGCGAAGCAAAAGTTTTATGTGGCATCAGCTTTAATTGCAAAGCAGTGGAGTGCACTAAAACGTTTGCTGCAGCAGCTTCGATTCCAAAGCAATCGAGTGCACTAACGTTCACTATTCTCTAATAGATTATGTGAAAATGCAATATTTTCGCATTTAGCAAAATTAAAACACGTTTTCCGCTGTAAAGTGAACTGTTTTGGCAGTTTCAACTCGTTCTTTTTTTCGCTCTATTCTTTATTTACTTGTGGTACACAAATGTCAACGGCCAGGACGGCGCAATCTTGTATTCTATCATTCTTGTTTCGCCATATAAAAATTACAGCACTTAACCATTTCACTGAGATGGTTAAAAGCTAACCAACTCGAAACCACGTCGAAAGTCTGATACAACCCTGTGTTTTCCCGCCATCTGTGGGTCATAAGCGTCAAAATGTAAAAAATGCGTTCCTTACTAGTGTTTGGACCTCTCTAAGATCAGATTAGATTTACTCCGGTTTTTGAAAAAATTTGAATTCTACTCCTCTACTCCGCTTGACTTCAAATCTATTCCGTTTTTATTTCATTCATGTTATGCCCCTCTTGGGGCCGTTTTTTGAGTGATCACCACCGGTTTCAGTAAAAAAATTTTAAGTTAGCCAAATCTCACTTTCATAACAATGCGTCAATAAAGTAACTTGGTTATTTTTTGATGTATGGCTGTAGAAATTGGCGGATGCAGAACTTTACTTAAGTTGTTAAAAATATATGTAGAATGAAATTTATATAAAGTAGAAAAGGTTTAGATCCTATTGCTCTTTAAAAAATTAAGTGTAAGAAACGTTCTACTTTATAGAAAATGCTGAATATTACCTAAATACTTAACATATTATCCTTACATTGCCTCGCGTTCTTATTTTTACATGAATAGAAAATATTTAAGTCAAACAATTAATGTCAGAAACGAAAATAAAAAATTCAATCTAGTACGGAAAATTTGTTTTTGCTCAGATTTTTAGTCCTGAATCGAGTTTTGGAAGTCCGAACACTATTCTCTACATTTGTACTGCTTTATAAACCTCAAACCGCAGTGTGGACAGCAATAGTTAGTTATGTGGTTAAGTTCGATTTGAGATGGTTAACTTTTTGGTGGGTGACATATTATAAGGAACTGTTTGAAAATGGGGGAAAACCGGTATTTTCTTAGCCAAACTGAGCAGAAACTAACAGAAACACGTGGGATTTTTGAATAAAAGAAACTATGCCAAGTTGGATATCGGGCGATTTTGAATAAAAAAAGTTAATTAAAAATAGTTGTTGAAAAAGCAATATGATAGTATTTTAGCATAGACCTTCTTTCTGCCTTCGGTCGCGCTTTAGGATTATAACCCTTACCAAATAGAATTCTCCTTTTGGTGATGTAGCCTTGGGAAAGGATGAGGTAACTAGAATTCCCTTTCTGCGTGGTAAACCTGGGGCTGCCGCCCCAGTGAGAATTTTACAAAAAAAGAGCATAATTCAAACCAAATTTCTAAATAAATTACGGGCCAAAAATTACAAAAGTAGGTCCTTAAATAATGTGTAGACCCTTGACTACAAGTGTGTGGAATTTTTATTGGATCGGGCCACCCCTTTGGACGAAATAGTTGCGGCCGCTACTAAACCCAACCCAAATATTCAAAAGTAAAAAAGGTATATACAAAAGATGTTAATCTTGGTGATCCTCTGAAATCTCGTCTTCAAATAGTGGCAAATTATTAATTGCGTCGTTTAAAAATGTCGAGTTTAGCTAGTATATCTTCTAATGTCTCATGCTTCATTCGGTTGGGATTGTCAGTTAAAATGAGCTTTAAGGTAAGTAAAGAGATGAAAATTGGCATGAGTTAGATCAGCTACTGTCCACCTGAGTTGGACGAATACCGAAACAAACATTGCTTAAAGCATAGAGTTCAGGTTCGGAATGATTCTTCTCTTTCCGAAATTGCAGTACGTCGGTGTATGTGACTGCTTCCTGTCTTTTTCCTAAACTCAAGGTATAATGGAACCTTGGATCCAGAAATAGGCACGCGTTAAGACTTTCGTTTTCGGTAGTAGTGCACTTTAGCGAAACCAGGTCAAAATGGACGGAAAAATTCGAGAGTGGTATCAATCGAAGCGTCTTGACGCCAATAATAATAATCCGGAAATTAACAGTTTTAATTCATTAAAGAGTTATTTGCAAAAAGCACTTGCACTTTTCGCACTATGTTTTGATGAATTGGATGCAAATAAATGGAGTAATGAACTTAACTTAACACGTATTTATAAGTTTTTGTAAATTTGTAATATTTTAAGTGTACATTTTCGCGAAATTCTGTATTTAATTGCAAAATTCCGGTGTTGAAAATCCGCACTAACAATCTTGTGAAGTTAATATATGTAGTATTCTTTTGTACACGAGCAGCAAAAGAACACTCCAACTCGGTTAAACTTGTCTTGGCAGCACTGGTGTGGATTGTCAGAAAATGAGCAAAACAAACAAAACAAAATGAACAATTGCATCGGAAATTTGGTAAATATAGTGATTAAATAAAATTAATGGCCCTATTATGTATGGCGACTGGGGTCTAGTTGCTGGTCTAGTAGCCATGGCTACCAGTATCGTAATTTGTATTATCTGTTAAGAAGCAAATAGAATATCGTAATTTATTTTCAAATGCGACCCTGTGAGGCGCTCTAAATTACCAATAGAAATAAGTCCGGCAACCTTGTAATTTTTTATGTGTCAAATACGAAATCGCCTTGGCTCAATTCCACCATTTTTAAAAGGAAAGAGCGCGAGGACACACAAAAGTGTAAGCTTAATTTTATATATTCAACTTTTACCTAATTATTCCACTTGTAGGAAATAAAACATCATAAACGAAAGTATCGCAATTCCCATTTGAAGACGTTTGTTTTATTTTGGCCCTCGCGCAACTATCTTTGCAACAAATTTTTATTTCACTTTTGCGAGTTGCTACAACGAAGGCGTATATAGCAGCGAACTGCGGAGTGCCGGTAAGTGTATCTGAGGAGGATTAGGGATTTAGATAGGTCAATTGGGAGCGTTGAGTAGGCAGTGTCGTACAATAGGGAATAGCCGAGCAATTACATGCCAACCACACGTTCAGCATCCAAAATGGCGGACAGCGAAAACGAAGACCTCGAACTTACCATTCGAGAACATACTACAGCCGCTAACCAAGCAAGTACCGCAAGTGTAACGGTGCAGTTAAACGCAATGATGGAGGAAATACGTATTTTGAAAGCAGCTTTAAGTCAGCAGCAGAATAAGGCAACATCGACAGCAGAGACGAATAGCGAAAGGGAGGGCATGCCAAGCAACACATTAGCAGCTGCGGTTAGTGAACTGAACCGCGCTCTATCGCATGTACCGGCACAGCCTGTGACCAGGCTGTATGACTTGCCCGAATTCGATGGTCGTCCAGAAGACTGGCCCATGTTTAGGGAAGCGTTTTCTGCCACAACCGAAGAGTATCGATATACTGAGCGGCAGAATATGATTAGGTTGCAAAAGGCACTGAAAGGAAAGGCAAGGGAGACAGTTGAGTGTCTGCTTATACACAGTGGCAATGTTAATCGAGTTATCGAAACTTTAAAGGAACGGTTTGGGAGGCCAGAGCTTCTCGTCAAAAGCCAAATCGCTCGTATTCGCAACGTTCCAAATATTCCCGAGAGTAGAATAGATCTTATAATTCCCTTCTCCACAAAAGTACAAAATTTGGCTTCTTTCCTTAGTGCAGCTGAATGCGACCACCACCTTAGCAATCCAATTTTAATGGAAGAGCTTGTATCCAAGCTGCCAGTGCAGCGCAAGTTGGCATGGGGCCAGACATTCCTTGACCATACAACCGCGACCAACTATTCAGCATCTTAGCGAGTGGTTGCAAGAAGAAGCACGCGTTGCTAGTAGTGTTTGCATCAACGTGGTCGAACCGCAGCGACAAACAGATCCAAGATCGGAGAGGCGTCCGAGATTTTTTCATGCAACTGAAACGCAAGAGTTGCATGGAAACGAGTGCAGTATGTGTTCCGGGAGTCACGAGCTCGAACGTTGCAGTCAGTTTTTAGACCTTCCACATAAGCAAAAATGGCGTTTTGTTCGCGAAAGACGTCTGTGCTTTAATTGTTTGAAATCTGGGCATCGAGGCGGTTCATGTCGTCGCAAACACCAATGTGACAATGTGAGGTGCGACAAAAAGTGGCACGCAATCCTACACGAGCCTCGATGCTCACGAGAAGAGCAAAGCCAACAAATACCGCGCATATTAACGAATGCGGAAGCACTTCCCTGTAACCAAAGGCTCTTGTTTAAAAGTAAGTCAGTCGATTGCTACGCACTTCTTGGTGAAGGGTCATCAATAAGTTTGGTGAATGAGAAACTCGTTACTCAGATTGGCATAACAGGGTCTAAAAAAGAATTAACCTTGCAGTGGTTCGGCAATAATACGGCAACTGAGTCGTCAATGACATTAAACATGGAAATATCGGGTGTAGGTCAAGGACACAAACGGTTTCCTCTGCTCAATGAGAGAACTGTAAAGAACCTGCAGCTACCGCGGCAGACGCTCCGAATCTCGGAACTCCACGTAAGACAACGACACCTGAAGAGGCTGCCTATAGAAGGGTACACTGGCGTGACGCCAGATCTGCTGATAGGGTTAGATAATGTGCATCTAGGCATAGCTAAGCGTATTGCCGAGGATGGTCATCGGGGCCCGGCTGCAGTGTTGACCAAGCTAGGCTGGGTGATTTACGGTCCAATGGGATACGAGAACGTAGCGAGACAGCAAGTACTTTTGGTGCGAGAACACGCCGCAGATAAAACGCTCGAGGATGAAACCATCGACGAGTTAGTCAAGAACTTTATAATAAGCGATGACTTGAGTGCGTCACCTACTGTCAAACATGTCGAGCCACAGGAAGAGGTAAGAGCACGCGCCATATTAGAGAATACTACAGTTCGTATAGGCGATCGCTTTGAGACGGGGTTGCTTTGGAGAACCGATGAAGATATACCGGAGTACACGCGGGGAATGGCGGAGAGAAGACTTCTAGCGCTCGAACGGAGATTTAAATGCAACGCAGAATTGAAGCACGAGTATATCAAAACGATGAGGCACTACTTAGCGAAGGGATATTCCAGGAAACTCACGAAAGAGGAAACGCTGACAAAACACCCACGGATATGGTATCTTCCCCACTTTGGCGTTTACAACCTAAATAAGCCGGGAAAAGTACGCCTCGTATTCGACGCAGCAGCACAAGTCTCCGGAAGATCGTTGAACTCCTACCTGCTTAGCGGTCCAGATATGGGTAAACCAATGCTAGAGGTGCTTATGAAATTTAGACAAAAACCCATAGCCGTCAGCTCCGACATCGAAGAGATGTTTCATCAGGTGGTAGTACGTGCGGAAGATCAACCGGCGCAAAGGTTTCTGTGGAGGGAGAAGCCTGATGAAGAAATCGTGGAGTACTCCATGCGCCTAATGACTTTCGGAGCAACATGTTCTCCTTGTGCCGCACAATTTGTGAAAAATAAGAATGCGCTTGAGTTTTCTGAGGAATTCCCTGATGCCGTCAATGCGATTTTAAACAACCATTATGTGGACGATTTCGTTCATTCCTTTGCAGACGAGGAAGAAGCCGTGCGAATAGCGAATCAAGTGCGATGCATTCACCAAAAAGGCGGATTCAACCTAAAAGGGTTTATATCGAATTCACGAATGGTGCACGATGCTTTAAACGGAGGCCACGACTTCGGTGTACAGAAAGGTTTCGACAAATCTAATGCAGGCTATCCGAAGGTTTTAGGGATGCGGTGGGACACGGAGTATGATGAGCTCAAGTTCGTTCTCGCTTTCGGTCGCGTCGATGAAGACCTGTTGCAAGGCAAACGGGCCCCCACTAAGCGGGAGCTATTACGCGTCACCATGTCTGTTTTCGACCCCTTTGGCTTTGCAGCGGAATACGTACTTAAGGCGAAGTTGCTACTGCAAACGGTCTGGCGAGCGAGAACTGATTGGGATGATGAAATTCCCGTGGAGGCGCAAAAGCTCTGGAGGACATGGCTAAACATATTACATCATGTGGACAACATCAAGGTTCCGCGCTGCTATGGTACATTCTTTACAACAGGAGTTGTGGAGCTCCATGTATTTGCCGACGCAAGTGAGATGGCATTCGCCGCTGTGGCGTACTGGCGAATCAGCAATGGGCGTGACGTGAACGTTGCAATGGTAGCCGGAAAGACGGAATGTGCACCTCTCAAGCTCACGACTATTCCAAGATTAGAACTGCAGGCGGCAGTACTGGCCTCTCGACTTCGGAAAATGCTGTTGAGTTCTCACGACACCAAGCCGTCACGTGTGGTGATGTGGACAGATTCGAAGACAGTCCAAGCGTGGATAGCTTCCGACCACAGAAGGTACAAGCCCTACGTAGCCCATAGGGTTGATGAAATTCTAGATGTTACTAATCAACTCGAGTGGAGATGGACTCCAGGCGCTCTAAATCCAGCAGACTTTGGTACGAGACTACAAAGCAGCTCGCGTGAATGCTCCTGTCTTTGTGGCCCAGACTTCTTGAGAAAAGACGAGTCATTTTGGCCCAGGCTTGATGCTGTCGATGGAACTCGTGAAGAATTACGGGCCAAGTATGAGGTATTCCTCGTCTCGCTGGACGAGGACATACTGCAGAAGTACTCATCGTTCCCACGACTCACAAGAATAGTCCCCTACTTGCGAAGGTTTGTGTACAACAGCTCCAACACACCAGAGAAGCGACTGTACGGTTCGTTGACGGTGAGGGAACTTAGAGATGCCGAACTTCTAGTCATCCGTATCGCGCAGCGGAGTGCATATGCCGATGAGTGCGCTATACTGAGGGGAGGTAAGCAATTAAACGCAAGTAGTAAACTTTTTAGATTGTCGCCAATGATAGACGACGTCGGCATAATTCGAGTGAATGGTCGTCTTCAAAACGCGTACGCCATTCCTCAACACACACGTCAACCCGTAGTATTGCCTCAACGACACCACGTGACCAACCTAATCATCGACTTGTATCATCGCATATGGAAGCATCAGAATCAAAACACGATCATAGCTGAATTACGCCGCAAATACTGGATACCTCACATTCGCGAAGAAGTGCGAAAGGCAGGAAGAAGATGTCTGTCATGTCAGAGGGAACGGGCAAGGCTCTAAATACCACAAATGGGACAACTACCCGAAGATCGTCTCACGCCCTTTGTTCGTCCGTTTTCGTATGTGGGGCTAGACTATATGGGACCGTTCATGATTGTGACCGGCAGGCGAACAGAGAAACGGTGGATCGCGTTATTTACATGTTTGACCACGCGCGCCGTTCATCTGGAGATTGCTAGAGATTTGAGTGCCGACACTTGTTTACTGTGTATAAAGAACTTCATGTGCCGACGTGGGACGCCAGTCCGAATAAGGTCGGATAATGGCACAAATTTCATAGGCGCAGACCGGGAACTGAAGCGACAGCTAAAAGACTTTGAAGATGGTAAAATCGCGGACGCACTAGCAAATCAAGGCATCGAGTGGCTGTTTAATTGTCCACTGAACCCACACGCCGGCGGCTGCTGGGAACGCTTAGTGCGCAGCGTGAAGCGCGCGATGCAGCATGCACTAACCAACGAGCAGTTACCGGAACATACACTGTACAGCGTAATGTGTGAAACAGAAAACGTCGTGAATTCGGGACCCCTAACACATATACCGCTTGACGCTCCCAATGAAGAACCACTAACCCCTAACCACTTCCTCTTAGGTACAGCTAACTCCGAGCAGACACCACATCCTCAGGAGGAGTCCTTAAGAGTAACCAGGACACAGTGGCGGAAGATGCAGCAAATACACTATCGGTTTTGGAAAACGTGGCTAGCAGAGTACCTCCCCGATTTGTGTCGCAGGACTAAATGGTGGAAACCGATGAAGCCGTTAGCAGTAGGGGATCTGGTGCTGATCTGTGACGTTCGCCTGCATCGTTCCAAGTGGCCACTGGGTCCAGTAACCAGCGTCAAGTTCGGTCAAGATGGGCAGGTCCGAGTGGCAGAAGTCAAGACGGCCGGAGGCACGTTCCAACGACCAGTCTGTATTTTAGCAAAGCTGGATGTCAGTGAATCAAGCAGCGAGTAGATTCACAGGGCCCGGGATGTTAAGAAGCAAATAGAATATCGTAATTTATTTTCAAATGCGACCCTGTGAGGCGCTCTAAATTACCAATAGAAATAAGTCCGGCAACCTTGTAATTTTTTATGTGTCAAATACGAAATCGCCTTGGCTCAATTCCACCATTTTTAAAAGGAAAGAGCGCGAGGACACACAAAAGTGTAAGCTTAATTTTATATATTCAACTTTTACCTAATTATTCCACTTGTAGGAAATAAAACATCATAAACGAAAGTATCGCAATTCCCATTTGAAGACGTTTGTTTTATTTTGGCCCTCGCGCAACTATCTTTGCAACATTATGTATAGCGATTAGTATCAGTATATAGAAAAGCTCAGAAAACATGCGAATTTACTTTTTTAACATGAACTTTTCCAAGTAATTGGCAACTTTGCTCCAATGTGTTGAACAATTTATGTGCACTAATAACAAAATCGTCGATAGCGGGAAACCGAAAATTCCGCTACTAGACTCAGTAGCCGACAGTCAGTAGCCAGTAGCCATACGTAACGCGAATTTTACAATCTATCAGTCGCCATACACAATAGGGCCATAAATATTTGAGAGTTAAATAAATCCTTCAAATAAACCGAAATTGTTTTCAATATTTCCGAAATAAATAAATCATTTAAAATTTTACTTACTGCTGCTCCATTTTTCGTCTTTCTATTTTCCTATCTTCGCCGAAATATTTTGACATTTGAATGGATGCCTTCCAATTTTCTTCCAGAATCATTCACAATGGCGCAATAATTGAACTTGGCAGTACACCGATCCAGGTCGTATAACGTTATACGAGTTGAAATTAGCTCGTATATANTTGATCAGCTGTTTCCCTGTTGGCAAATTGCTGTTGGCAAAAATTTTTCCAACAGAAACTAACAGCTTCCCCTCAAAATGAAATGTCACTTTGCTCTCTCAATTTCCCCTACTTTGCAAGTTTTTTGCGTACGCGAACGCAAAAACCTGTAAGTTTTGGTTAAACATGAACAATTAACAGCTACGCGAACGAACCTTATATTACACGAGTTGTGTTGTTGTTTCGCATGTAAATGGACATTTAAACTTTTGTAGCTCGGTTGCAAAAGAATACACCAATAAATAAGATGGAGGAAAACTGGTGCTGCCACTTTATTAATACAATTTATATTTCAACTTTAAAAACACCCAAATAATGCACAAGAAATATACTTTTGTGAACAGTTCCTTTCCTTTGTACACAGGGTTACAATCCCCAAGCGCGGCCGAAGGCCGGCTACGCAGAAAGGTGTTCTCTGTAAAGGTCTTCAGCCCATTTTCTTTGGCAACACAGAAAGGAGAATTCTACGTAGTGAGGGTTTTAATCCCTAAGCGCGGCCGAAGGCCGCCTACGCAAAAAGCAGTTGGACTCAAAAAAACCTTTTTTAATAGAGTGGCAGCAGCAATTTGCCTCCATTTTATTTTTAGCAGAGTGGCAACACCAGTTTTCTTCCATCTTATTTATATTAACTTCACAAGATTGTTGTGCGGATTTTCAACATTGGAATATTGCAATTAAATACAGATTGNAGTTAAATAAATCCTTCAAATAAACCGAAATTGTTTTCAATATTTCCGAAATAAAAAAATCATTTAAAATTTTACTTACTGCTGCTCCATTTTTCGTCTTTCTATTTTCCTATCTTCGCCGAAATATTTTGACATNGAGTTAAATAAATCCTTCAAATAAACCGAAATTGTTTTCAATATTTCCGAAATAAATAAATCATTTAAAATTTTACTTACTGCTGCTCCATTTTTCGTCTTTCTATTTTCCTATCTTCGCCGAAATATTTTGACATTTGAATGGATGCCTTCCAATTTTCTTCCAGAATCATTCACAATGGCGCAATAATTGAACTTGGCAGTACACCGATCCAGGTCGTATAACGTTATACGAGTTGAAATTAGCTCGTATATATTACACGAGTTGTGTTGTTGTTTCGCATGTAAATGGACATTTAGTGCTGGTTTCTCCAACTCAACTTAACTTAGTTCAGCCACTTTTTGGACTTAAGTCACAAGTTAGCCTACGTTTTACACAGCTTATTCTTGACTAAGTCAAGAAAATTGGCTTAACTAAGTTAAGTTGAGTTGGAGAAACCAGCCCTTAAACTTTTGTAGCTCGGTTGCAAAAGAATACACCAATAAATAAGATGGAGGAAAACTGGTGCTGCCACTTTATTAATACAATTTATATTTCAACTTTAAAAACACCCAAATAATGCACAAGAAATATACTTTTGTGAACAGTTCCTTTCCTTTGTACACAGGGTTACAATCCCCAAGCGCGGCCGAAGGCCGGCTACGCAGAAAGGTGTTCTCTGTAAAGGTCTTCAGCCCATTTTCTTTGGCAACACAGAAAGGAGAATTCTACGTAGTGAGGGTTTTAATCCCTAAGCGCGGCCGAAGGCCGCCTACGCAAAAAGCAGTTGGACACAAAAAAACCTTTTTTAATAGAGTGGCAGCAGCAATTTGCCTCCATTTTATTTTTAGCAGAGTGGCAACACCAGTTTTCTTCCATCTTATTTATATTAACTTCACAAGATTGTTGTGCGGATTTTCAACATTGGAATATTGCAATTAAATACAGATTGTCGTGAATATTTACACTTAAAACATCACAAATGTATAAAAATTAATAATTACGTATTAAGTTTAGTTCATTTACTCCATTTATTTTCGTCAAATTCATCAAAACATAGTGCGAAAAGTACAAGTGTTTTTTGCAAATAACTCTTTAATGAATAAAATTGATACCCCTCTTCATTTTTTTGGTCAATTTTCGCCTGGTTCCGCTGAAGTGCACTTTTACCTCGTTTTCTAGTAGTTTGAATGTTCGTTTCTCAATGCTTTCCAGGACTTTGCAGTTTTTTTAACCATGTCTTTGGTGGAATTTTGTAGTATTTTGCAGGTAACCACTTTGCATTTTAGCCATTGAGCATACAAATTTCCGAAATCCAAATGCTCTGCTTGGAATTTTATTATTGCGTCTTTTAAAGGAGCGAACACGGCGTCATAACAATCCACAAAATCGCAGAGAGAATCGCTGTTGTGAAAGTTTTCGTCGATGGTTTTATTTGCGATAGATTCAACAGCAATCAAGGCATCTTTTGTAGCCAGTAGAGTGTGAATTGTTGTTGTTGTTGTAGCAGCATACAAATTCCCCAAAGACTTTTTGGGGAGTGTTGCGTAGTAGAGTGTGAATCATTTTGTACGGTGAACCCCATCTTGTCCAATCGAGTTGAGGAAGTTTAACACTGTGCAATTCGAAAGCGTCCTTAAATCCATTGGAAGGTTTCCGAATAAACTTTTTTTTTCATTATCTTTCGTGACATCAAGAGCACATAATTGAGCAGTGTGGGCTGCACATCTACAAATTTGAATGTACCCAACACGAAGATTCGTTGGGCTTTCTAGGTTTTTGATGTTGTTTAAATATGTATTATTTCTATCTCCTTCATGTACCCCGCTCATATTATAGCTCGATAAAATTTTGGCTGTTTTTAGCATATTTGCTGCGTTATCGGAAGTTATTGAAATTATCTGGTTGAGGTTTATATCGTATTTTTTCAAAATCCAAAATTTCTGCAGCAAGATTATTTGAGGCACTTGCGCCGATGCCTTCCTAAAATAAGGGATCTGATTTCGTCTTCCTTAATAAATTGTGCACTGATTCCAAAAATATTGCGTTAGAGCCTTGATGCGCTAGCAATCTTTAAAGATAGAAGCCGTTTGCACATTTCCGTTTTCATGTTCAATTTTATATTTGCGGCAACTTTATTTAAAGTAGTCTGACAATGTTGAGCATTAAAAGTAAAACGCTTGCCAAGCTTCTCCTCCAAACCGGCGCAAATTGGATCAATTATGTTTTTCAAATTGGGAGAATTGAGAACATTGAATGGTGTTCTTACATGATATGTATTTGCATATGTTCATGCCATTTTCTACACATGGAAATGCCAACATATCCTGTAAAGGCAAATTA